CAATCATGGATGCCAGGGACAATGGAGGAGGAAGATGGGACATGGCAGAGGGTGGGGGATGGGGAATCAGGGATGGCAAGACAAAGGGCAAGGTATGCAGGATGTAAGAATTGGAAAATTACTTGCTGAGAACATGTATGTTGATGTGCTTGATTGAACCAGTACACAGTGTATTTTGGATGGAAAATTTATTGGTGGGTTGTGATGGTGTACAGTGAATTAAGGTAGAAAATAAAAATTAAAAAAAAAAAAACCTAGTTAGTGACCACAGTAAGCTATATAGCCTCAGCTATGTGCTATTTTATAGTATATTCATTCTACCCACAGAATTTCATGCCTAAAGTCAACTTTTGTTCACAGATATGTATATTATCAGCTGAACTTACTATTGAAAGTATTTAGATTAATTGAGATATTTTGTGAATCAATACAATGTGGGAAAGAATAAAGAAATGAAAAGTGCAGATACCAGAGACAGGGTTGGAAGAGGATGGGAAATGCCAGGGAGTGAGAAATAGGGGTGAAAATATATATGCAAGAAACAAGAAATGAAAAATTATTTGTTTTTTATAACATGTATGATAAGCCACTTTACAGTGTATTCTAGCTGGGAAATCACATTTCGTATGCTGTGGTGATATTCGGTGAAAGTATGTCAAATAATTTAATTTTTATTTTAAGGGGAGGAAAAAAATGCTCCTGGTATGAGTTTCAAACCACTGAGTCCAGGACTCGAACCATGATGGTCGGCCACATGGGAGTCCAGCACCTTAGCCACTATACCACCTGCTGGCCCCAACATAAGGTTCACTTTAAAATGAAAGTTCACTGACTGCCTTGAACAGAATCTCCTTTAAGTCTGTAGAGATTATGCAGGTAGGACAATTAACATGCTTCTGAAAACACAAGACCAGACTACCTCATCACCAAAGGGAAAATCATGATCAAGAAGCGTCATGGTAGTCTTCCACATTGGCAGATTGAGTTCTGTGGGACTTGTGAGATATTCATGAATGAGCCCACTAGTTCAAGATGAATTACTGGTTTGGGAACCAGCAGTTAGCGTAATGGCTATGTCGCTGGACTCCCACGTAGTCGACCGTGGTTCGCGTCCTGAACCCAGTGGCTTAAAACTCATGCCGGGCGCATGTGCGTGTGTGCCCAAGATCCTGAGAGGAGAAGGGATTGTGGCATGACCATCCCCCCTGGGGGGTGATTTCTCGCTTTCTGTCTCTCTATCTCTCTCTGGCTGTCTGGTGAGTGCACGTGCCCTATAGCGAAAACCTCTAAAAAAAAAGATGAATTACTGGTTTAAAAGAATTTCACTCCTTAAAGCGCTCTTGGGTTGGTTCCATAGCCTAGTGGTTAAGGGAGCAAGTCCTACATAGATGGTCAAGTGGTTTAAATTCTAGCCCAAATTCCTTTTTTTAAAAAAAAGAATTATTCTATTTTAACTTTATTCATTATCATTTTCCAATTTGACCAGAGAGACAAGAGAGAAGGAAAGTGAGAAAAGAAGATGCAGGCAGGTCTGAGACTCGAACCATGTTTGGCCATGTGGGAGTCCAGCGCCTTTAGCCACCACGTCACTGCCAGCTCCCCAAATGCCTTTTTAAAAATGCGCTGGGGCCAGCTGGTGGAATGGTGGTTAAGGCGGCTGGACCCCACATTGTGAATTGCGTGAAGTCCTGGAGGTGAAAAACACATCTGATGTGTGTGTGTGTGTGTGTGTGTGTGCCCAAATCCCAAGAGGAAAATGGAGGAAAAGGGACTGTGATGTGGCCATTCCCCACCCCACTTCCCACCCCTGACCATCTCTCTCTTGGAAGCACACACACCCTATAGCAATTTTAAAATAAAATAAATAAAACGTAACAGGATTTTAAAAAGAAAATAAGTTTTTGTTTTGTTTTGTTTTAATGCATTGGGTGCCCAAAATCTCAACAGGATGGAGAAATGGAGAAAGCATTATGTCCATATCCCATTGGGTGTGTTTTCTCCCTGTCTCTCACTCTCTCTCTCTCTGTCTCTCTATTTCTCTGGCAAGCTTATGTACCTTCTAGCAATTAAAAAAAGTGGAGGGGCGGGGGAGAGAAGGTGACTTAACCAAAAAGCTCTGAAAAATAACTTGAATCAGCTTACCTGGTGCATAACACAGCACATGTCAAGGGCCAACAATAAACAAGTAAATAAATCCAAAGAACAAAACACACACAAAGTTAAAGCCTCATTATTGACTTACTCTCTACCTATTTCAAATTCACCAGCCTGAGGGTCAGGGTCACTGCCTTTTGGCAACTCTTTGTACATGTTGCAATGTGGGAGGCAGGTGACTAGGAGTTGGCACTGAGCTCTCCGTGACATCAGGGGAGCAGGTCCACTAGGATGCAGGCAGACGTGGGGGTGTTGAGGGAGGAGGCATGAGGAGAGCAGGCAGTACAGTAACTCAGTAAGTCTCGAAATGTATCTTTGAGTATTACCATTTGAAGGTCCATCTGCACTCCTTTCAAGGCTCCCTCTTCTCTCTGAGATAAAGAGAAATACCCACTTGATTAGAAGCTGTTGTGACAGGAGGGACTTGTTAAGAATACATTTTGCCCCTTCAAATGTGCCAGGTGATTTCTACCTCTGCTTAATTCTTCATAATCACGGATTTTCAACAGCAGGCTCTTGTTGATTTGGTCGCAGATTCTTTTTAGGACGTCCAGATTTCTTTCCCCTAGGATGACTCTCTTCTCCATCTCTACAAAAATATCAAGCAAGCTCTAGGAAAAGAGAAACAAGGGGAAGAATAGCGTGAGCCACACTGAGTTTTAAATTAGATTTTTTTTTTTGGAGGGGGGAGGTTTTTTTGCTATAGGGTGCGTGTGCTTACTGGAGAGACAAAAAGTAAGAAACCATGCCTCATGGGGGATGGCCATGTGGCAATCCCTTCTCCTCCATTCTCCTCCCGAGATCTTGGGCATGCATGCACACACACCTGGCATGAGTTTGAAGTCACCAGGTCCAGGACTCGAACTATGGTCAGCCATGTAGATTTTTTTAGACTCCCACTTTCTTCAAGCCAAGGGCCCCTCATGTCCCAATCATACCTCCTGCTACACATGCTGGTCTCTACACCTGACCTGACAGATGAGCAGGGAGTTTATCTCGCCAAGAAAGAGGAAGCAGTGTCATTGGTCACCCAGCCCCCCCAGACTCTGTGTTCCGTCTGAATTGGAAACAGCCTAATGTGCACAGCCGAGACGTAGCTTCTGGTCACCATGGTGACAACCACCTCACACCCCAACATTGCCTCTTGCACCCAATCTACCTCCAGATCTGAGTTCTCACATACACATACCACATACACACACACATGTGGCACATACACACATCAGATACTTAGACACAGAGGCACACACACAGACACCATGCACACAGACACAAAGACACATAAACACATACACCATACATACACAGAGACACACGTGCCACACACAGACACATAGAACACACACACAGAGTTCCAGGTCCCAGATGTTTTCAGGTATTGCAGAAGTAGGGAAATGTCTAGGCCCCTGCTTTTTCTCCTGGCCTTTCTGGGCCCCACACTGTGCTGGGCTTGCACAGCTGGACGCCTTCTCCTGGCTCCCGGCTCTGTTTTACTCTCGGTAACTAATGTGAACAGCACTTCACACCATAGAGAAATCGCATCTACAACACCCACTCCTGGCAACATTCTTCCCCCTGGTTCAGAAGTGGGAATCAGGATTGCTCTGGCCTCTCTCTAGTCTCAGAAATCCTTACTGGCTGGCCAACGCTCAGGACCAAACCTTAGCAAGGTACCAGGTCTTACCATGTCATCATCCAGTTTACATTTGGAGATCTCCTGCCTCAAAAAAAACTTAAAAGAACGTAATTCCAGTTTGGTGACATCTTCTGCAATCTGAAAAAGCATGACCCTGTGGTGGAAAATGAAGACACTTCAGAAATGCTTTCCTATTTTCCAGTTTGATATGTGGAGTCAGAGTGGACTCCAGTGACTCACCCTTAACAATTCAAAGTTCCACCAACTTTTTCTTTCCATTAATTTTAGTTCAATGAAGTTCATTTTTCTTTATCTTTCACTATAAAATCAAGATCTTGTTGCATTAGAAAAAATCTTTGACTTTGCAAAATCATGCTTTTCAAAATTCAAATCGGATCATCACTTTTTTAAGAAAGCTGGTCATTGTTCTCCCAGTCTTACCTTCAGTGAGACGGCCGAGCACTTGGTTCTGGACTAGAGACTCCATCATACCTCCCCGACAGCTTCACAGACTCTACCAACACCAAAGGACTGGAAGCTCCAAACACACCCTCTGCCCCACCCTCTCACCTGGCTGTGCAGTGCCCCCACATCTCCTATTCCCTCGCCTATCTGCAGACTCCACTCATCCTCCAACAATCAGTTCAAGCATTGGCTGAGCGTTCTCGGGGCTGCATTCACTTCACTGTCCCTTCACCTGAAGGACATTCACCCAAAGGATAGCACACACATGACCACTGTCTGTTCATGAGACTGTCCAAGTCCCTTGATAGCCAGGTCCATACCCATCTTATTTTCAAAAGCCCAGAGGGTTGTGAGGTACAGTGTGTGTTAAGTGTAGGGACTCCAGTCCGTTGGTGTTGGAACTTTGGTTCCACCATCTTTTAGCTGTATGACTTTAGACAATTTTTCCTCATCTGTAGGCTGAAAATAATTGTATCTATGTCATAGGGAGGTGTCAAGGATTTGGCAACACATGAAGTGTTCATTAAGCAATAGACATTATTATTTCCTAATCTATGTCTAGCACATTCAGGCTCTTGGGATAAGTCAACAAAGAAATGTTTTATAAACTGTCAAACTTTTCAGTATTCTGATGGAAAGGAAAATAACTTGAATACAAAAATATGCCAACTTCAATATTAAATTAGAAAACTTAAATTCTGAAAACAAAAATAGTATAGAAGCAGAAGTTACACAATATTATTTTCTGTCTCACCCTTTGTCTCATGGAATCTATCCTACAAGTATTTCTATAAAGGTTTCTCAGTTTGGCCAAGATTGATCTAATCAAAAGCTATTAAGACTCTTTTAGCTTTATTTCAAGGTATTTTTATCCTCCTTTTCATATTATTGAAATCCACAGGCTTTCTCTTGTCATACTGTCTGGATGGCTAGATAGTTTTAAGATACTTATTTTATAGGTAGCCATTATCATTTTCCATAATGGCTACCTATAAATGTCTAGTGTTTTCTTAGAATGGTAGGTAGCCACACTAGCACATTTTTTAATCTCCTGGCTAACATTCGACAATGAACGAGCAGTAGGTCATGGTTGTGCTAACCTTGTTATCTCTAAGCCAGTGTATTAAAGAATTTAACAGACTGATCCATCTGATTTGAGATTAACATTTAAAATGTGGAGGATTGACTGGAAGAACTGGAGGCAGAAGACCAACTAGGACAAAAATTAGAAGGAGGACTGCCCTATGTCCTGGTGATTAAGGGAGCCAGACCCCACATGGCCACAATGCTGTTATTTGGCATTGGAGGATCACCTCAGTCAAGTGCACATGGCAGAAATTAAACCTTCAGAAGACCAAGATGGTGGGCACGAAATGAAACCCTCCCCCAGTTTTCCTAGTGCTGGGACTTTTGTTTTGTAAGGGGTATGGTTTGAATGTCCCCTGCAAGATTTACGTGTTGAGATTTGGTTGTGATGGGAGTAAACAGGATGACCATTTGATCTGATTAAGATGTTGAAAGGCAGATCTATGGGAAGAGATTAGGATTAAGGTCATCAGGGATGGCCTCCATGATTGAGTCCTAACAGGTTTTTAAGGACAGGAAACAGGCCATGCTCTTCTGCCCTCCACCATGCTGTGAAGCAGCCTTGTCAGTTGTGGCCCCTGGACCTTGGACGTTCAAACCATGAGCAGAATCAACTTCCATTGTCTTGGATTACCCAGACTCATGTATTTTCTGTTACTAGCAATAGAACAAACTAGAAAAATCAGAGTAAGTGGTGCTTGATGAATGAATTCCTCATAAGACTTCACAACTTGAGTAAACCCAAAGCGATCCAGTATACTAATACTGACTGAATAGTGTCCTCTCCTCTCCCCAAAACTTTATGTCTACCTAGAACATGAGAATGTGGCCTTATTTAAGCAAAGGATCTTTGGAGATAAAATCTCATTACGGATTTAGTCCCATAGCACAGTGGTTAACTGCTATGCATTAGGAGCTGGATCCCCTATGGCTAACGAGGAATTGAATCCCAGCCCTGGTGGCTTGAAAAACATGCCAGGTGCATGTGCATACATGCCTAAAATCCTGATGGAGTAGAGAAATGGAGGAAAGGATTGTGGCATGACCCTGCCCCATTGGGGAGTACTCTCTCTCTTTCTCTCTCAATCGCACATACACTCTGGCAATAAAATTAACTACATTTTTTAAAAAGTGAAAGCCATTCTTACATAGTTTTTTTTTTAATCTCATTAAGATAAAGTCATACTAGATTAGGGTGGGCTTTAATGACTGATGTCCTTCTGAGAAGAAGAAAATTCAGACAGACACAGAAGAGAACATGGGCGGGACTGGAACAATGCACTTACAAGACAAAGAGCACCAAGGATCCCCTAGAACCACCAGAGGCTAGGAGCAAGGCCAAAAACAGGTCTTCTCTGAGCCTCCAAAATGGAACCTATCCTGTGGACATCTTGATGTCGGACTTTGAGAGGAAGAAAGAACACCGCCTTGATGGGGTATGGTCACACCACAATCTCATCTCCATTTCTCCATCCAATTGGGATTTTGTGGCACTCATGAACATGTGCCCAGTGTGTTTCTCAAGCCACCTGGGCTGAGATTCAAATCTCAGTCGGTAATGTGGGGTCTGGCTCCCTTATCACAAGACCATGGAGCCAGCCCCCCCAAAAATGTTTCTTTTATGGTTTTAGCTTTTTGGTTTTTTCTGAACAACACATAAGGCCCTACTTTAAAAAAAAAAAATTGCCAGAGGGCATGTGTGCTCATTAGAGAGACAGAGCGAGAAAACCACTCATAGAGTGGTCATGCCATAATCCCTTCTCCTCTTTCTCTTCCTTCTTTTGGGATATTGGATATTGTGCTTTGGGATATTGTGTTTTTAAGCTATAGGGTCTGGCACTCAAACCATGCAGTCAGTCATGTTGGATCCAGCACATTTAACTACCAGGTAACGGACCTGAAATTCAGGCCCACTCCTGAATGTCTCAATCTGGTCCCGATCTGATGTTTTCTCAGATTCTTCCCATACAGACAACCTCTGATCAGTCCTGCCCACAAAGATGTGTTCATTTAACCCACATCTCCCAGTCCCCACCCTGCCAAGTTGCTACCTACCTGTAGGCAGAAATCTGAGCCCTGCCTGGGATCTGAAGCTCTCTCTCCATCTCCTCCTTGCTAGTGTTTAAGCATCTGGTCAGCAGATCCACTCTATTAATTTGGAAAAGCAACTCCTTCAAGAAGGACAGATTGCTTTCCTCCAACATCCTCTTTTCCTGGAGTGTCTGAAACAAACTTAGGGCATCCCGGATGGGTTCCTGCTTCTTATGAGGGATGTAGTCCAGGCTCAGGAACTTGAGGGAGGCCAGTTCATCACTTTCCAGTTGCTCCCCAATTTCATACAGACATAGATTAAAATCCATTCTCGTCAAGAGGTAGGAGGATGTATTAGAAACCTAAGTCAAAATACAATGCTCTGTTCAGATGAAAAAGAAAAATACCATTTACTGGTTTGTCCCTTCATCAGATGCTAATGCATCTACTATATTCTAGGCATTTTGCTGTGGATGCAGGGAAGAGAGAGGAAAACAAGCAAAACAAAATAAAATAAAACAAAACACACACACACACACACACACACACACACACACACACACACACAACAGCACAAGATCCCGCTCTCGAGTGTAT